AAATTAATAATTGTGATGATCTATATGAGTAGTTGATGAAGTGCTAGGAAGTGCAATATTTGGAGGACTTAGCACCTAATTTGGAATATGCCTTTTTAACGCCGGTAACTCAACAAACTAAACGTTCATTTTCATTGAAAATATGTTCATAATTTTCGATCAATACTTTTGCCAGTGTATTCATGCGACCGATGTCGAATTCAATTTGATTGGCGGATAATATGCAAGGACCCCAGACAATGGCCAGATTTGATGCAGGCATACGATTCTGTGAACTGCAGGCAGCAACGCTAATGGGTGTTATTATATTATTAATTAATAATTAATTTTATTAAATATCAACTAACTTACTTTGTTAGATGTTTGATGAGAAATTTTAATGTGGAACGATTTGGTTCACGCATATCATCCAGTGCGTCACGTAAACTTTGTATGCCCGCTGGATCACTTAAATTACGTCCAAAACGTTCGTAAGACTCTTGTGGTATTAATGGTGCACCCAATTCTCTAAAGAATTGCTTTAGCAAACTCGTCAGTGTATGTATATCATCTGTGACCAACAATTTAGGATCATATATATAACTTTCGGATAGTTTTTGTTTGAGTTCATCGACAGAAACTTTATTGCCGGAAGCACGATATAAACCATCCTGTAGTATACAGTCTTTTCGTTCTATAAACTCAACACAATCTACTACAAAGAGAGGTACATTTGGATATGTGGTTAAATTCAATTCCAATTGTTCTAAAGGTGCACCGAATATTGGATATTTCGGCTTCATACCATCCTCCAGGTAAAGACTAGTAGCTTCTGCGCGCCGAAAAATTCCACGACTTTTCTTCTCGCTCTTTGGTGAACGCATGTTTCTAAAGTAAAAGAAATAGAATTTTATTTTTTATTGAATAATTTAAAATAATAATATTTAAATTATATATATTTATTTAAATTTATTCATCAAATGATTTAAACGACTAACTTACAATTTAAACACGCCGCGTTGCACTGCAAAGAAAAATAAAAAAAATATTAATTAACTAAAAGTTGTTAAAAATATACTAAATTTATACACAAACTTAATTAACATATAATATATTTTATTTCTACTAGTATATCAAATGAGGAAACTTGCTATTTTTGTATATGAACAGTTCTCCCATTTTTTTTTAAAGTCACTCGCAATTCTTCTGGCAGAAATCGTCGCTGACCGCTCGAAATATCTACTTAGTTTGTATCTCGAAAGCTAGTTAATCATTGCGGTTTTGCACACTTAACTCAATGCATCAAAAAATCCAAATATGTAAACCTACAGATACATATATATATATTGGAGTTTATTATGTGGTAGAAATAATATAACAAAACCCGATTTCATAATCGGAAATCGTGATTCACTGATGTTTATTTCTCATATAAAATTTCGATTAATTTATGCGAATCATTCTGAAGTTTCGCTTGAGCCTCGCTTATTCGTGCTCTCCAGCACACTTTTATTTATTTTTATTTTATATTGGAATAATATTTTTAATTGTGACGATTATATGAATGAATTTAAGCATTTCTATATGGATTGAAATACACATTCTCTTCTTTCAAAATAGGAAATGCGAAAAAAAACAACTGAAGACAAAAGCGTTTTACTGTGGGATTAGTAAACCTCATTGGAGTAAAGGCAAATTACGTGGTTTATTTAATTATTATGATTAATTATTATTGCAAAACAAAAAAAAAAACAAATTATATAAAACCAAAACTATAGGGTATTTTTAAGAAAGTTCAGAGAAGCCCTAAAGTGGTCAGTTACACAGCAGTTCTATAAAAAATGACAGTCATTGTCTGTCATATGAATATAGTATATCTCACATTCATAAATTCAAATACGAAAAAAAACAATAATTCATGCTTTATTTCTAGATATATAGACGTTGAAAGTGACAAATTGGTTAATAAACTAACAAAAATAAGCTTACAGTTCATACTTGAACAACAATACATATAGACACGCATATCAATGCTTTAATATATTAGTCAGAATAAGGATCTGAAACATACTTCAACACAAAAAGAAACTAAAAAGTGATCACGATGACCTTGTCGTGTCTAGTTCGTCTAATACAAAACTATCCAATTTTATGCTCTCTTTCTCACGAAGAACTACTGAGACTACTGACAAAACATTATTTTTCGAACGTACAGAAAAAGAAGTGTTAATATCTTTGCAACTGCAAAGTAACCACGAATACTTATGAGTTATCAAACGAATGTCTACCCAATTTTCTTTAACTGTAGAATAATGTTTGACTCACCAAACAGACATTATATTACAAACACACAGAGGAACAGATGTCAGACTGCAAACTAACTACTGTTACTTAAGGGATGTCAGATAAGGAGCTAGTCAGTTTTTAGCTCTCCTCTCCACAAAAAAACAGTAGAATAATGACGGACTCTTTAATGACACAGTATCTTTAAAACAGAAGAAGAAAAACAGAAGAATAGTAAGATATCAAGGTCCTTACAACTGAAAGGTAGACATTAGTTACTTATGCACCATGTAACTCGTAACCTCGGCGGACATATGCCGGAAATTATATTCAAAAAATAAATCCCATGAAATTAGATAACTTCCATGTACCTCAATTAACGATTTTTCGTCATTTTGCTACCACATTCCTCGCAAGAACCCTAGTATAGAAGAGTAGAGAGTAAATCCATTCTGTCGAGTTTAGTTAATTTAATAGGTCTTTCGTCTTCACCGATGAACAGTCTGATAAATTATCAAAGAAATAATGACGGATTCTTTAACGACACATTATCCTGAAAACAGAAGAAGAAAAACAGAAGAATATTAAGATGTCAAGGTCCTTACAACTGAAAGGTAGACATAGTTACTTATTACTGATCTAACAAAAGAAATTGGGGTCTCTCTCTCTGTAACTTCTGTTACTTAAGGGATATCAAATAGGGAGCAAGTCAGTTTTTTGCTGTCAAACTCCAACAACCAGTCTTCACAAACAATCAAACGATATAATCAGTATTCATATCAGTAGTACTTGATATATTTTCAATGATTTTGGTGTACTGGTATATTTTCCATCAGATATATAAAGTTGGTTTTATTTTTAGCTTTTTATATCTTATTTATATACATCAGCTTATCTTTTCTCTTTCCCTTTTCGTTTTAATATTAAATATTTCCTTATTCTTTATTCATTGTTTTCTTTTTCACTTTTCTATCTTAAATCTCCTACTTCCTTTTCTTTTTCTTTTTCATAAACCCTCATCTACATATCTTCTATTTGTTTCTTACTTGTTCCACTATTTATCCTTTATTTTTTTAAATTCTATTTTCGATTCTTTCTTACTCTTGCATCCCTCTAGCTGTATTATATCTTATATCTAAATATTATTTAATTTCTTTTCGTATATATCATTTATACTCACATTTATTGCGCATACGCTCCGCAATGGACTTCTTATCATCTTCATTTGGCAAGTCCACTAAGTTTCCAATGGAAGCACTTTTGAATCGTTGTAAAATACTCAGTTGTTGTGTTTGGCGGGTGTCGAGGTCATCTTTAATTTCTTGGGCACGTAAAATTTCACTTTCGGAAACAATCTAAAAACATATAAAGAATAATATATAATATATGCAGAAAATAAATTTTATAAATAAGTAATCTTTATATAAATTTAAAATTATATATTATTCGGTAGTTTAATAATATATCTATTAATAATATATCTATACTTATATATAACACAATATATAACTTTATATTTTGTATTATATTTTCTAAAATATAACTTTATTATTATATTAATAATGATAACTACAAAACTATTAAAATAATTGATAAAATATAATAATATAATAATAATAACTATAATAATAATACTATAAAAAATCGGAGCTGATAACCGTCCTGGTATTGTATTAACTAGTATTCTTACTGGTGTATGCGGATATTAGATACATCATAACATCTCAAACCAATAACAACAGCAGCAGATATATAGTTTAATATTTGGCAAACTTGACATTTACTTACTTTCATAGTTGTGCATACACGATTTTATGCAAAAACTAATCAAAAATTAGTCTGATCGAATGCACCATGTAACTCGTAACCTCGGCGGATATATACCGGAAATTATATTCAAAAAATAAATCCCATGAAATTAGATAACTTCCATGTACCTCAATTAACGCTTTGTCGCCATATTGCTACCACATTCCTCGCAAGAACCCTAGTATAGAAGAGCAGAAAGTAAATCCATCCCGCCGAATTTAGGTAATTTAATAGATCTTTCGTCTTCACCGATGAACCGTCTGATAAATTATCAAAGAAGTATCTTCCTAAGAACCTATATCTTCTGGACGCCAAAGCCGGGCATTCATAGAGAAAATGTATTATGATTTCTTTCTCCTGTGAGTTTTCACAACTTTTGCAGTGAGGAGGATTATGGGGAATGCGCAGTTTCTCTGCGTGAGTTCCAAATTAATTTCACATTATCAATGACCAGTAAAAACTGCTGTAAGCCTTGCAGTGTTCACGCGATCTCTTTTAATGAGTTGCGAGGAGCTATTTTTATTATAGGTGAGCCATGTTAACCTGGAGGTTTCACATGACTTAAGTGCTTTCCATCTGTTATTGACAAGTTGCAGAAAGTACGTATTTCTCTTAATATATACTGACTTAATAGGTATATACATTTTATTGTTTTCTAACATTACAACCCCGGGAATTGCAAAATGTCTAAGAAACATATATGTATATTATATTCAAGTGCTGTTTTGGGTATTTATCACAATTTGTATATATCCAGACAATGTTGAGTTGACCAGTTCGAAAAACACCTGGTAACTCCATCATTTCGAATAGGTACTGAGATTTTAATATATATTTGTGCTATAAAAAATATTGACGTAGTTTTAAACATTTACGTAGTTTTATACGTTAAAATAATGAAATGAAAATTATTATCGGTTCAATAATTTTAAATGCAATTTTTAATGAAATATTAAAATTAATCATTTTTAATTTAAAAATCAAAATTAAAACAAAATTTAATTACTTAAAGAGCTGATAATATTTTTAAGGTTGATAATTAAAAACACAACTTTTTCACTTTTAAATTTATGTTTCTCTAAATGTCAAAGTAAAACGAATGCCAAAAAAAAAAAAAATTTAAAATAAGATACGAATATACTAGAAATACTAATTTTGTAAAATGAAATACATTTAAAAAGCAATTAACAAATTAGCAAAAAAACTAAATACGAGTAGATAAAGTGAAAAAAGCGCAAAACTCATTGCAACTGTCAATCTAAAATTTATTTTGGATTATTTCAATTTTTTAACGAATATTTCATTTGCCACACGAAAGAAAACGTTCAAAATTTAATCTAACAGATACATTTGTATGAGTACAACAACAAATACATTCCGACTCTCAGTGCGAAAACAAACTGAAGCGAAATGTTTACTTATTTCAATAAATTTTTTTGTAAATTTTTGTTTTTGTTAGATAAATTTTATTTCTGCGAAATTTAATCGATTTAACCTTGTTTTCGAAATTTTATTACAGTGGACGTCCAATATAACGAATTTTATGTTGCACCCCTTGTTCGTTATATCGAAAAATTCGTAATATCGAATGTTGTACATTTACCTACCAATATGGTTATTTTTAGGAGACTTCATATATTTGAGTTCATAAATTAACTTATAAACACGTACGAGTATATATTTATTTAAAAGTATTTTTTATTCGGTTGTTACAAAAATTATTTATAAGAAAGGACGCATTCAATCATAGTGTAGAGTAGAAAAAATCATTAATTTTTGTTTGTTTTTTACTACACTCAAGACTTTTCTGAACAGCTTTTTCTTGTAGTTCTCTTAGTACAGCTAATTTTGAAGTTTCATTATTGTTAATCGCCCACTTTATGCATTTTTCGAAATGATTTATGGCATCTTTATGTTTAATAATTTCTAAATTATTTTCTTCTATATTTTCGTCATCAGATCCATCATCCTCGTCCGAGACATCGATGGTATTATCAGCATTATTCCATTTATTAACTTCGTATGTACTAATGTCACACTAACAATCAAATTGAAAATATAATATAGGATATTTAAGCATAACAACAGATCAGTGGCGCCTGCATATATGCATTTTGCCATACATATATAGGCATTTTTCTCAGAAAAAAAAAAAAACGGACAATTACATGCATATTCTAAGCTGAATAATGCTAGTTTTATAGTAAAATTATATTCAAAAGCATAATTTGTATAAAACAAAAACGAATAAGAAACAAAAAATTTTTTGTTCGTAATATGGAGCAGAATTTTTTTTTTCGTTCGTTATATAGAACAATCAATGTAAATATTTTGGGTGTTCGTTATATCGAAAATTCGTAATATAGAGCGTTCGTTATACTGG